GGGTCGCAGAGTCGGACTTGACTGAGAGACTGAACTGAACTGATTAATGCTGCAAACATTTACTGAGTGACCACTATGTGCTAGGTATTACTAAGGCATTATTCAAAGGTATTACTCAGGCATTATTCATATTGTTGTTATGAGAGAACTGTAAGCCGTTGAGACAAAGTACATTGAAGCAACACACCTAAGTTGCAACACACCTAAGTTACTCCTTGAGCAGCCCAGAAGAGGAATGGAGACAGGCTCTCTCTATGCCCTGATTCTTGACTGAAGTTTGCACTAGAAAATTATCTCCTTGCATGAGTGTGAGGCCACCACTGTTGGCCATTCCTTGGGTTCTCTGAGTCCTATTTTCTCTACAGTAGAGTTTCCTCAGTAAACAGTTTAAAAATGACTAACATTTAAGTCTAGCCTGCTGTGGTCCTTACATAGTAAAACTCTTTAACAAAGCATCTCATTGTGTTGGTGGTGGTTTGGTCACTAAGTCATGTCTGACTCTTGTGACCCTGTGGTCTGAAGCCTGCCAGGCTCCTCTGTCCATGGGATTCTCCAGGCAAGAATAATGGAGTGAGTTGGAGACCTGATGAAAAATGCCTCTGGGCTCCTCCTGCCTAGAATTCCAGCTCCCCAATTGCACTTACCTAGCTCTCTTGTCACAGAGAAGGAAATGGCAACCCACTCAAGTATTCTTGCCTGTAGAATCCCGTGGGCAGAGGAGCCTGGTGGGCTGCTGTCCATGGGGTCACACAGAGTCAGTCATGACTGAAGCAACTTAGCAGCAGCAGCAGCTCTATAGTCAATGCCCCCAAGAAACATTCATCCTCTGTTCTTTTTCCTCTAGCATTCTGAAGCCCTCCCAGCATACTTATCACGTTCTCCTGGTCATCCCAATCATTTGTGCACATGTGACTTAGTTCTTCAACTGGACTGTAAGATCCTTAAACTAATTTAGCTTTGTCTCTCTGCCTCCCACCAGGGTAACTAGCTTGTACCTTGTGGGAAATGTTTCTTGATATGATATCAAATTGTTATACCATCTGCTTTTCTGCATCTAACCTCAAAAGTTTACTTGACAAGAGTTCTCGTTGATCCTGACACTAGTTTTAGAATGTTCTCTTCTTTTAGAACTTTCAGTGATGCAATACTTTTGAAAGCTATTGGAAGCATTTTATCTTATCACATTATTTAAAGGAGGTCAAATTTTATTTTTCACAACCCTGAAAGACCAGGTCAAAGATAACTGGGAACATTTTATAACCTCTCTGGATCACAATCTTGAAACACAAAGTATCTTTAATTGTTATGTGCATGCTAAGTCACTTCAGTCATCTCTGACTCTGTGTGCCCCTATAGACTGCAGCCTGCCAGGCTCTTCTGTCCATGGGATTCTTCAGGTAAGAATACTAGAATGGGTTTCTGTGCCCTCCTCCAAGGGATCTTTCCAACTCAGGAATCAAACCTAGGTCTCATGTCTACCTGCATTGGCAGGTGGGCTCTTTACCACTAGTGCCACTTGGGAAGCCCATCTTTGTTACTAAAGCCTTATACAAAAGTAGTATCAACACTGGGGGTGCATGCATGATTGGTTGAGCCATGCAAGGCAGACCTGACCAGTGAGCTAATGAAGGAGTTATCCTTCCAGGAGAAAAGCTAGGTTAGCAACAATCTTAACGTTAGCATAAATGGAAACAAAGCAAATTCACTATTTGGGGGACCCTTTTTAAAAAAAAATATTCTATGTTGTATGAAATTAAATATGGCTTCCTGTCTTCCCCGTTTTGGGAAACTGCTTGAAAAACGCTGGACCAACAAATTGGTTTCTATCAACTACAACACTGATGGAAGTTCCAATAGCTGAAGGTAGTTTTACCATGTGATTACTTACATTAGAGCCTTCTATGGAGAAGGATCCTGAAATGCACCACACAGAGAAAATCCTGTTCTCTGGGAGATGGGTGTTTCTGCTTGATGCGGGGAGGTGTTGTGAGTCTTCGGCTTTCTCTAAGTATAGTAAGTTCTGATGAAAAAAATTGGGCACTGAAATGCCTGACCGGGTTGAGACCTGTTAAGCTCTGTGAAGAGTCCCCCAGATTCATGACAAGGGGATCAATCTTCATCATAAACACCACTGTGCCAGTCCTTTGCATACGCTCCAGAATTTGACACAGTTGAAACTCAAGAAACCCATGAGCCCTGAGGTTGAAATCTGAAGTGAAGAATCAAACCCTGTTGAATTGTCACCCCTCCAACATTTGTAAAACTTCTCAATCTTTCTGTCCCATGTTTAGATGGTATAAGAGAATATAAAAAGCATCCTAGAAGTGAGACAAAAATCACTGGGTTCTGTCTCCAGCTCTCTCTGACACTGGGCAATTGATATCATTCCTCTGGGCCTTCGTTCATTCAACTATTAAACAAACAACTATTAAACAAAGTGGGAATTACCAGACTCAAAGCCTATTCCTTAGATGATCTGCTTCCAAATCATCTAGGAGTGGGATGGGGCTTGCTATAAAAATATACTTTCCTGCCTCCCCCAAGGTCCTGCTGAATCAGTGTTTTTTGGGGGATGAGGCTCAGGAAGTTGTTTTTTAAAATGAGCTCCCCAGGTGATTCTTTCACTCATTAAAGTGACTCTTCTAAAGTTTTTACTGCAGTGTAACACACTTGTTAAGAGTTATATAAACAACACACTTATTATATAACACACTTGTTAATCTTAGGATATCTCTAAGATTCTTTCCAACTTTAAAGAATTTGAAGAATCAGTCCATTCAACACATTTGCACATGGGCACATTTACTAACCAGCATGCAACTTTGGACTCTGTTACCCCCATGGCAGTAACTGTTTCAGATCAGAGTGTAATTCTGCACGTGGTGTAATAATTTCTCAGTGATTTGGAAAAACAGAATGGTTTTCAAATGTGTGGCCTCTTTGAAATGTCAGTTTACTGTCAGAGTGCTGTAGGTCCACTGGAAAGTCGTTCAAATTTGACCTGAATGTTGGAATTTCATTATAATATCTATGTATGCTGACCAAAGCATAATACTCAGTGACAGAAGACCGTTACCTGGGCAAAAAGGGAGATATCTGGTTGTATTTCTGATTTGATCACAGAACCAAACTCCAGTATAGTCATTCAAATTGAAGCTTCTTTGTCAACAAAACTCCCAGGCCTTGACTCCCTCACGGGGGGACCTGGGATAATATGCAGGTAAAAAGTACTTAAATCCCTCCTGAAGTGGTACACAGATCACTGTGTTAATAACTTTCCTCTGAATCAACTGGTAAATAGGTTTAAGAGAGTCTTCCAGTTACTAAATAGTGAAGTTATCTCTTTTCCAAGGCAACTAGAAATTGTTGGGAATTTTCTTCAAAAGGCTATCCCTTTCAAAATAATGTGTGTGTGTATGTATGTGTGTGTGCGTGTGCGTGCATGCGCGTGCTCAGGCACTCAGTTGTGTTCAACTCTTTGCGACCCCATAGACTATAGCCCGCCAGGCTCCTCTGTCCATGGGATTCTCCAGGCAAGAATACTGGAGTGGGTTGCCATGCTCTTCTCCAGGGGATCTTCCCGACCCAGGGGTTGAACCTGAGTCTCTTGCCTCTCCTGCATTCGCAGGTGGATTCTTTACCACTATGGCACGTGGGAAGCCCTCAAATAATGCCTTCAAAATTACCCCTTTGCTTTTCAGCTTTTATACAAAGCCTTCATTTCTTTTTGGATTATTTATTTTATGTGCGACAAAACAGGTGTGTAGTTTCCTGGCTTCCCAAAATGAACAGACATGTTGACTTACTGTAACAAGGCAAACTTCTTAGCATGCTTCAGAGTCCTCAACTATGAAATGAAGATGGAGAAAAGATGGATACTTAGTCTCTTCCAGCTCTAACACTTTTCATTTGGGAAGAGAAAGGTAGCATGGTGTAGGGAGAGTCGTGGGCTCTGAAACTAGACAGACCCAGGTTGGAACTTTAAGCCACAGTTTCTTCAGCTGTGTGACAAGGGGTAATGATATATTAATTCTCAGGGTAATATAAGCATCCAGCATAGAGCTTGGCACAGAAAGAAAGACATTCCAGAAAGGTGAGACTTCTTGGCTCCCTATTTCTCCACATCTTTAAGCCCACACCTGTTTAGGCCTCCTCTCACTGAGAGAGTGAAAAGCAATCCCTGGTCCTTATCCAAGTGTAGGGACAAGCTTCCTGGGATAGGAAACCCAGCTAGTCCTTTGGGTAACAGGTTCTCGGATTCTTCCTGACCTAGTCACCACTGGAGCATGAAGTTACCATTTTAGGTCTTGTTGAAAAGTTGCAGGAGGCAACTACAGAACCAAAGGTCACTGTTGCTATAAACGTAATGAGGGCTCACTAGGGCTTGCAGCAGGTGATCAAAGTCTTCTTGGGGATCAGGTGGACTCTCTTTCTGCAGTGAGAATCCAGGGAGGCTAACAGAATTTGAGAGCTGGAAGCAGTCTTGAAGACCGTTACAGAGGAGGAAACCAAGATATGGAGAGGGAAAGTGACTTGCCCAGGATTATACAGTCAATCAAGGAGCAGAGGGGAGAACAGTCTCTCTGGATCCTCTGGATTTCACACTCTAGACCCTCTGCATTTTAATGCAGTTATTGTCAGCACTGGCTAGGAACTTGAATTCTGGAGGTAGACAGATCTAGTTAATCCCCTCCTCCCAATTCTGTGATGTGGGGTATAAGTCTCTACCTCTCTGGCCTGAGTGGTCTCATCTACAAAGTCAACCCTATCTGTTTTTAAGTATTACCAGCAACACTATATGTATTCACACAGTATCTGGCTTGGTCAGCTCCTACAACAGAAGGTTCTAATGACCATTAATTAGTGTTTGAAGGAAGGATTGCCATCCCCTCTCTCTACATCTCCAGTTCCGATCTGAACCCTCGTCCCCCGCAACCCCTATGCCAGGCTGTCAAGAAGAGAAGGAGCCCAGTGCCAGGTGAGGTGGTCCCCAGGCTCACCTGGTGAGACCAGTAGAACCTTCGCCCCAGAGCACTGAAAGCAGTGCAACAGGGACTTCCCGCGGATGTTGTAGTTGAGGCACGCCATGGCACAGCCCAGCTTCATCAGTCCCAGCCACAGCCATATGTAAGCTGGTTCATTGCTCATGAAGATTGCCACGCAGTCTCCCTGGCGCAGGCCGAGGTGGTCGCGCAGCGCCCGAGCCACTTGGTTGCTGCGTCGGTCCACCTGCGCGTAGGTGAGCGTCTCGTCGCGGAAGAGCAGGAAAGGCTTGTGTGGAGTCTGCTGCACTTTCTCCAGAAAGGCGTAGAGGATGGTGCGCACCGGCCGGCGCTTCCCGTTGCTGCGCGCCCGCCGGGCCACGCCGGCCACCCGCAGGAAGTAGCGCAAGTCCTGGAAGAAGTAAGGGCAGCACAGGTTCACCAGCAGCGGGAGCATCAACAACCCGGCCAGAACCGCGTAGACGACTGGCAACATGACGGCGGTGGGGCCCCCTGTCCCCTCCAGGGCGGTGGGCGCACTTCGGGCGTGCAGGGCGGCGGCGGAACGGGCTGCGGGCGGGCTGCGGGCGGTGCGGCTATGCACAGCGAGGAGGGGGCGACGGTGGAGCTTTGGGGCCGCCCGCGCACCGCTGCGGGATCTCTGGCCGAAGGAGCTGCGGTGCTTGCCGGCTGCTGGGTGTGACAGGCCGGCTGAGCCTGCCCCCTCGTGAGGGTGCAGTCTCCTGCGCGTATGCCCCGCCCCGGCGGTCCTCGGCTGGCTGGGAGGGCGGCTCCGCGGCTCCCCGACGGTGTGACCTTATAAAAAGGGTGACCGTAAGACGCCTTAGAAGACGCTGAGAAGATTAGAGGGGATAATACAGGCGGAGCGCTAGTGTACCTTTTAGAGATAACTGATGGTTATTACCAATAAAGTGCCTTATAAATACGAGAACGGTCCTATTATTTCCTAGTAGCGGGTAGCAGGTGCCACTGCCAAATCAGAATCCCATCTCTTCTTCCTGGTCTCAGGGGTTTTCCGCCTGGTCTCTCTTTGTTTCTCACATTTGCTTTCCGCCACGCCCCCCATCCCCCTGCGCCGGACCCCGCCCAACCTCGATTTAATTGCCAGGCAGGCTCTAGTGATAAAGAATTCAGGGGTGAACAAAAGCACCTTCGATTGCCGCCTCCAGCTCATCCCAGCCCAGGGGGCAGTGCGTGAGGCCCGGGCGCTCTAATCCGAGACGTCCTGCGGGGCCCAGCTAGCCCAGATTAGGTTGGAGGTGGCGCCACACTTTGCCACATGAAATCAAGCTTCGGGGAAGTTTTGATTTGTTATGATACGTTGTTCTTTAAGTGCCCCCTCCCCCCCATATAGAAAATTCTCAAGTATTGTCAGTCCAACTCAATTCTGTTTACTAAGTGGTTCCGTGAGAAACAAGCACAACGCAGAGGAAATGAAACAGTCGTTGGCATTTTTCAGAAGCCATTGCTTTGAGTGTCATCCTTTCTTTTCACTCCCTCAAGTGCTGCTTCTGTCCTGAGTGAACACTAGCTCCTTGCTATAGAGGAGGGTCAGAATTTAAGTAAAGCAGCATTTTCCTCTCTTCCTCGCCTGTCTTCCTGCTGTTTATACATTTTATTCTTATGCGACAACCAGGAGTAATGAATGCTCACCCCTCTCTGCTAGGGGCTTCCTTGTATGATATTTTTGGAGCCTCACAGTCATCTAAAGGTGGAATTTTCAAGCCCATTTATAGACAGGAAAGGGACACTTAGAGAGGTGAATTAAGACAGCTGCTAAGTGATGCTTGGGATTTGGGAATCGGTGTATCTGTTTGGTCCTGGGCCCATTGCTTTATTAACAGCAATGTGTTAGGCTGTTCTCTTCTTCTTGGGTTTCTTCTTTCTTAGCAGTTTTCTCCCCCCACCTCCTATCACAAACTCCCCTTCCCTCATTTCTTTTTAATCCTTCTTTTTAAATCCATGAACTTGCCGCAACAACCCTTTCTCTTTTCCATGGCTTAACCAGCTTCTATCTAATGACTGGTTGCATCATTTCCCTTGGGGGTGAGAGGGGGAAGGAGCCCTTGGACTTGGTTATCCCTGAGGGGAAGGTTGTAGTGTTAAAGTAGAAGCCAGGACAGAAACCATTCAGGTGTGTACCTCTTCTTTTCATGTTAAAGCGAGATTCAGCCCTCCTTTTCCAGCCCAATGCCATCTGGTCCCTTCATGATCAGTCACTTCAGCATAGCTTCCTTGACCGAACTCTCTTGTCTTGTCCTTAAACAGTCACCCCTTCTCCAGAGTGCTTGATTGCCCCAAATACCCACTTTCTCCTCTCTTACTCTGAGAATCACTTTAGCCTTGTGCATCCATAGTTTTTCAGTGGAAATGAAAGAGAACAAGACCCAAACTGGATTAAGTAGACATGGGAATTTAAAACTCAGGGTCCAGGGCAGGGCTTCAGGTAAGCCTTCCTCTATGGCTTAAAAGTACTGAGATCTGGACCCAGTTTCCCTTTCTCCATTTCTCTGCTCCATCAACTCCTTTCTCAGGTAAGCTCTTCCCTCACGGTCCAAAGATGGCTGCCAACCCCTTAGAGTGACCTGTTTCCTGTGTCGACTTCAGACAGAAATGTAAGAAACTTTTCCTTAAAAGTCCTCATTAGAAAGAAGGAAAGAAAGAAAGAAAAGAAGGAAAGGGAAAGAGGAAAGAAAGCTCTTCCTGGGATATGTGTCTGTCTTTGTGGGATGGGGGAAGAGAAGTGCTGATTGATTTAAACCAGTCAGGACTCATTCATGGAGCTGAGGGTAGAGTCAATTCCATGCACACCATACTATGGAAAAATCAGGGTCTTATTAAAAAGGAAGTGGGGAGAAGAAATAAATTTAGAGAGATAAGTAATGTTTGTTGTATATATCTTGGAACTCTTTTTTACGAGTGGTTCTAGCTTCCAACTTGGGCTCTACTTAGTGCTCTACCACCAGCCTGATGGTCTTCGTGGAAATGCCGCTATCATCAATCATCTCTCTAATGCTCAGTAATCTTCAGTGGCTGCCTCACTGCCTCCCACCCACTTCCACTCATGGTGTGTATAGACAGCTGTCATATCTGTACAGCATACCAGAACACTTCTAGGCTAGAGCTGGCTAGATGCCCTAGGTCCTGCCTGCCTCCCATGTGGAGGGAGAAGATTGGTAGCTTAGCACATTGGTTACACATTCTAGAAACATCTGCGGTAGGAGCTCTGGTTTATAAAATGAAGTTCAAACTTTATTTTCTGGTTCTTCTGATGCTGACTTGAACTTTCACTGCACTCAGTTAGCAAATCTGTGTTGAGTTTCTACTATGAGCCGGACATCATTAGACATTAAGTATTTGAAAATGAATCAAAACTTAATTGCACTGTTTTTATGAATCTTGTCTCAAAAAAATGCCCTGCATATTCCTTTCTGTATGACTATTCTTGCCTATTTCCACCCCTTAACTCTCTGTCCCTCTAAATCCCAACTCTTTAAGGTAGTGGGTCACAGATTTCTGGTTTTCTCAGTCTAGTAGCATTTCAAAATAAAGCACCAACTTAAAAAATTTTCAAGAAAACTCAGCTCCCCAGCCAACTATAGTCTGTTTTTACTACTATTTCACAAAAAAAGGACATTTTCAGCATTAAAAAGGCAAATATAACTGAACTGTATACTCAAAAATGTTTAAGATGGTTAATTTTATGTGTATTTTACCACAAAAATATACACAAAAAGGAAAAATATACACCAAAAGAAAAGTACAGACCTTTTCAAAGAAGGAGGAAGACTACATTATACCAACATATACAAAAGATAGAACTTAAAATATTTTTGAATGCAGAATAAATACAACTTTTTTTTTTTTGGTCTATAGATATTGTTTCTATGTAAGTTTGAACATTTAAAAATACAAATTCAACAGTGACACATGAATTACAACCATATCTCTTGGATATTAAGTCAGGATGGTTTCATCACTGAGGTCTCAGTCATGGCGCGTCCTCACCCCACACCCTTAACGAAGCCACCTAGTTCCCTCCTCTCTAATGCCCCCATGTCCGCTGAGCCTGTTACCTTCATCGAGAGTCTGGTTCCTTCCTGACCAGTCACTTCAATGCAGCCTCTTAGACTCCTCTTTTTCTTAAACTTTCTTCACAGAGCACTCTGCTGTGTTTAGTCACTCAGTTGTATCTGACTCTTTGTGACCCCATAGACTGTAGCCCACCAGGCTTCTCTGTCTGGGGATTTTCCAGGCAAGAATACAAGAGTGGGTTGCCATGTCCTCCTCCAGGGGATCTTCCCAACCCAGGGATCAAACCCAGGTCTCCCACACTGCAGGCGGATTCTTTACCATCTGAGCCACCAGGGAAGCCCAAGAATACTGGAGTGGGCAGCCTATCCCTTTTCCAGGGGATTTCCCTGACCCAGGAATTGAACTGGGGTCTCCTGCATTGCAGACAGGTTCTTTACCAGCTGAGCTATCAGCGAAGTCCCACAGAGCACTCAGTTACTGCAAATCCCCACTCTCTTCTGATCTATTCTGAGTCACTGCAAGAAGAATTCAGGAGATGGACATGGTCACTGGAGCACATGTTGACGCCTGCTAGTGTTGGTCGGGACTTTCCTGATGCTTCACCCTCATTCATCCATCTCTGCTCTTGTCTTAGAGAAAGACTCCAAGTGGCAGTTCCCTAATCCCATCATGTCCCCAGTGTGTGTGCTAAGTTGCTTCAGCTATGTCCGACCCTTTGTGACCCAGTAGACTGTAACCTGCCAGGCTCTTCTGTCCATGGGATTCTCTAGGCAAGAATACTGGACTGGGTTGACATTTTCTTCTCCAGAGGATCTTCCTGACCCAGGGATCAAAACCTTGGTCGCCTGCATTAGTAGGTGGATTCTTTACCACTGAGCCACTTGGGAAGCCCCTGTGGCCCCAGTGTCCCCAATCCCAACCTCAAATGTTCCTCGTTGTTGTTGCTCAGTTGCTAAGTCACGTACAACTCTTTTTGACCTTATGGACTGTAGCATGCCAGGTTTCCCTGTCCTTCACTGTCTCTTGGAATTTGCTCAAACTCATGTCCATTGTGTCAACGTTGCCATTCAGCCATCTCATCTTCTGTCACCCCCTTCTCCTTCTGCCCTCAATCTTTCGCAGCATCAGGGAGGGTCTTTTCCAATGAGACAGCTCTTTGCATCAGGTAGCCAAAATATTGGAGAAGGTTTCTTTTTTTTAATTTTTCCTAATTATTTTATTTTAAAATTTTCTTTATTTATTTATGACTGTGCTGGATCTTTGCAGCTGTGCAGGATTTTCTCCAGTTGTGATGAGCGGGGCTACTCTCTAGCTGTGGTGCCCAGGATTCTCATTGCAGTAGCTTCTCTTGTTGCAGCTCCTGGGCTCTGAAGCACAGGCTCAGTGGCTGTGGTGTATGGGCTTAGTTGCTCTGAGGCATGTGGAATCTTCCTGGATCGGGGATTGAACTCATGTCTCCTGCATTGGCGGGTGGATTCTTTACCACTGAGCCACCAGGGAAGCCCTCAGATGCTCGTTAAAGGCGGATGGTCTG